GGCGGATTTCCTCGATCTTCAATAGTCGGAAATCTGGCGCCAACACGGTCAAATTATCGTTTTTTAATGCTTGTGTTTGTTTGAGATATATATTAATATTAAATGATATATTTCACTAATTAACAACTTAATTTTTTTGTCGAGGTGGTCATTCAACTTGATACAAGCAGTGTTCTAAAAATCGGCCGAGGCGGCCGATTAATCGGTCGCCGAGGCGGAGGCTGTCCAAAACCTTTACGATTTTAGTGTAAAGGTTTGAAAAATTGGTTTTTTGCCTGTGAGGCGGTCCGAGGCGGTCAAACCTTTAAGGCAGGTCAAACTTCGGTGGCAAAAATCGGCAAAAAATCGGTCAAAATCGGTTTTTTTTTTTTTTTTTTTTTATAAATCAAAATAAAAGTTGGGATTTTAATAAAAAAATGAGTTTATGCTTTATTTTGTTTATGTTAATTATTATTGTTAAAGAACTTATGATGTATGCCACGAATGTATGTAAATTAAAAAAAAATGCCTTTTTATTTATATTTTATAAGGATATTTATGTATTATGATCTTATTATTATTAAACTTTTATTATGTTATTAGAATATATACATGATCGAGATATAACTATGTTTAAATATTTTTTATCTATGTTTTGAGTATTTATAAATAATATCTACAAATATATTATATTAAATTTTAAAAATCGATTTATTTCCGATTTATCACTGATTAATCACCGCCGCACCGATTAATCGTGAGTCGGTGCCTGACCGACTTAGACCCGATTACCGATTTTTACAACCTTGGATACAAGAGGCAAACTAAATGAAAGGTCCCAGCGTTTTATTTGTACGAGTAAGATCAAAATTATATGCTTGTATGTAATTATGTTTAAATTTAAAGTGAAAAAATATTATATTATTTCACTCTATTTAACATATTTTACTACTAATGTTGCACGAGGGTATCCCTTAAATTATGTAGAAATATTTTGCCACTTGCTCTAATTTATTTATTTTTATTTTTAGTTTTAATTTATTTATTTTTTAAGAAAAGTTGTCTTTAGCGTGCAAACCATACATAAAAAGCATTGTGCACATATAAAAACAATTGAAATATACTAAAATTAAATAATCTCGTTGGTTATTAGCACGAAGTTTGACTAATCAGTGGTTGTCAAACAATTAAACAAAGGTTAAAGTTGTAATCTTTGGTAGTGGAGAAGGTGATTAAGGTAAATATGATGAAGGATCATCATTTCAGAGTGCTTATTTAACCAAACACTAAATCATTAGGCTCTTAATTGAAAATTATGAAGAAAAGTTGAATTAATTAGTAGTTTATTTCATAGCTAGTGATATTTTGAGATAAATATGCAATATAAAAACATTTTGACCTTGCTAATTAACTTTAATAGAGTTATGTTGCCACTTGGCTAATATAAGTTCAAATTATTAGGCTGCTATAAAAGTTGAGATCGACAATTAAATGTTATTATTCAATGAAATTATTAGTTGTGTTAGTGACGGTGTTACCATTGTCGACGGACTATTAACAAGTTTCGTACAATAATAACCGAACGAGGTCTAATGAGGGTTTTTGAGGTTTTATACCCTTATTAACTCTTCAACACTTTTTCTGTATTAATTAATAAACAGCGAAGTTTAGTCTATCTATATCTATTTTCGTTGAACCAATACATATTAATTGAGATTATTAATGGAACACCATTATAGGTACATTTAACATTAAGACTTGTCTCAAGGTGAAAAACGACACATATATAAGAAAGAGTTGGGGGAAGAAATATTGAAGTTTAATTTGAAAAATATCACTAGATAAAATCATCATCATATGCACCTTCCATTAAAACTTAGTAAAACATTTAAATACTCAAATAACGGGATCAATAATTAAGAAAAAGAGGATATGTGAGGTTTGTTTGGGGTTAAGTATTAGTATATTTCTTCAACTTTTGGCACTAAGTTGGCCTCGTGGGAAAATTATATATAAAACAAAAAAAAATGAAAAAGCTAAACGTCTAATCATTATCTTTAGGATAATTTCTTTTATTAAGAACGATTAATTAAGCCCTACACTCATGGCGGCTCTCTATTTATTTCTATTAACTTATTGTGAATCCTAAATTACTCGATAAGTTTGTCACGCATGGTTAGCATAGTGTGATTTACGTTTTTTGTATGATTTGCAAAATATTTTATACGATAGTTTAGACTTATCCAATGCACCTATAAATTAGCTGCAAGTTCCTTCGTCACACACAAAAAAAAAATCTGAACTAAATAACTTTTATATTTTCTTCGCTTTTGTGATCAAGTGTTACTTTGCATGATTTTCAGATAGTATGAATTTTCTTTTCTTTTTTTTCTAAAATATATTTAAAATTTATAGTGTTATGAAGACAAATATAATGCCAAAAAAGGATCTCGATTTAGTTTGAACCCGATTCGTTCTAAGACAGTGTGATCGGAATTATAAAGTATTAAATATGACATTTGCTGAGATACGTCATGTAATTTTACATCATATATCTACGCAAAATCACATACATGTAAATGTAAATGTGTGTAACAAAAATAGTTTGACATATATAAATATGTATCTTAAATTACATTGAACTTAAAGTGATCATTAAAATTGAATTGAACTAGGTTTAAGTGAAGATTTAAGGAAATATAATCATCATTTTATCATAATAATGCAACTTGCTTACAAAAACCATGGTATATTGGTATATATACTTCAAACCCTAATAAGGTCATAGCCACATTTTCCTAAATCGAAGATGCTTTATGTCGTGAATTAATTAATTAAAAAATATATCCCGAATTCAATTAATATATAAAAATACCTCAAACACCATTATGGCTGATTTAATTACAAATAAAAAATAGATAAAAAATGGTACACCAAACTAATATAATTAACAGATCATATCCCTTGTCGACATATTGTCCTATTTGTACATTATTAATTAATCATCACAAGTTAATCGCACTTAGGCGCGCAATTAATATACTAATTAAATTAGATCTTGTTGTTATTACACTTTGTTTTGACTTATCATATTCAATGTATGGAACAACAATGGCAGGTCAAACATATTCACACAGTAACATATAGTTTTTAGTGCTTCTGTTTGTTTGTGTCTTCCACTTTGTCATAACCTTCCATTAATTAGTGATAATTTTTTTTAATTAATTAGTGCTGGATTTTTGTTAATCTTTAATTAATTTGGTGTCCTTTGTGTTAATTTGTTTATGTGTGGCATTGGAGTGTTTGTCCTTAGGTATTTTTGATCGGCCAAGAATCAATTTTAGGTGCCCCTTGGGATCAATTTTACACTTTCTATATATGAGGGCATGTGGGAATTTGTTAAACACTATTTACATAAAATTTAAAAAAATAAAAAATATAATACTTAGGTGGTGATGGTTACTCACTAAGTAGATCTTTGTAAAACTAAAATTAGTTGGTAATTAATCTTGAAATGATTATTCAATTTTGAAAGTTGAGGGTGTTTGCAAATAACATGGAGAAAAAAGTATTTAATTTGAAAGGTGTAGCTAATGAACTTTAATTTTTAGTTTATTATGGTGAAATATATTAGTTGTCCCAATAAGTTAAATTTGGATCAAAAAAATAAGGGTGAAAATATAAAAATTTTATTTTTAATTTGTTAGTTACATGTAGGGATGACAATGGGTTGGTTATTGGGCAGGGCCGGGACTTGATACATGAAAAACATATAAAACTCAGACCTGCTCTAACCCCGCTCAGCGTAGATCCAGACCCACCTCAAACAATATCCGCCCTAAACGTGTTAGCTTTTGGTATCAGACAACTTAAATTTGGATATTAGACAAACATAAGCAAAATTTGAAGCAACAAACATGGAAAAACTGACTATGAACTAAAAACAAGCTTAATCAGTTTGTAAAAGCTTTTCTAAAAGGAATTATTTTAATATAACATATATAAAAATTGGGAATGAGGTTATTAAACTTTGAGTAATTTAGTAAGTTACTATAGTAAACAAATAGTAGACTATTATTATATTATGCAATATTTATTGGTTTGAATAAAGATAAAACATAAAAAATGATAGTGGGGATCGAGGCAGAATCCAGACTGGTGTATGAATGAATGATTGGTGGTCAAGAATTGAAAACGCAAATTTGTCCTTTTTTTTTTTTTTTTTTTTTGTGTGTGAATAAAATGTAAAATATAATATAGGCCAAGGTTTTAATTTTATCCTGGTTTCAGAAAATGTTAAATAATATAGGCCAGCTGCGTAGTTGCCCTCTTCCTCAAACTGAAAGCCAAAGCCAAAGAAAATTGTTTAATAAATGGAGTTTGAGGGGAAAATTAAATGATAGAATAATCAAACAATCATTGTGCATGATATAAAACCATAAAAAAAATAACATTTCAGATTCGAATTCGGTTGGCAACGATCCCTAGGTCGAACTTATTACACATTATTAGCATATTGCGGTTCCGTCTCTCGTATGATTATAAAAGTATTATACAAACGTGTAGGTTTACTCAGTTCACCTGTATGGATGAATCCAATTCGTTCGTCTCGGAAAAAACAAAGGGCATTTTTGACCTTATATATTTATTATTAAATTTTCATATTTAAATGGTTTATGTGAGCATTTTGGGCTTATCCACAATGATGACAACTCAATCGTGATATATTTTATTTTCGTTTAATTTAGCCAATTTATAATAAGCCCAAAAAGCAAAATCACCATATACATAAAACTAATTAAATTAATCAAAGTGCTCTCTCATTTTTATTTATAATGAACTTGTACATACTATATAGGCTTTGTCATATCACCTCTCCCCATCTCTATCTCTTCCCATGAAAATCAAAATTTTAAAAATAAAAGCCAAAAATACTATACTCTAATTTGTAGTTCTTGATTGAAAAACTCAACCTCATCACTACCTCTATTTCAAAAAAAAAAAGAAAAAAAAAATCCGAATTTTCGCCAAAATTTTAATTATCATGGATTATTTTGCCAACGGTTTCAATCTGATTTGAACTCCGTACTTGGGCTTCATAGTGAGGACAATCACAGGGGCATGACGGTAATTTTCAGAGATTTCGAAGCTGAATTTCGATATCAACATGGCTAAGATAATTTTGGCTTCCATGAGCGCGAATGCCTGGCCCACGCAGTTCCTTGGGCCAGCTGCAAACGGTATGAAATGTCGGCCCGATCCGGAGGATCTGGATCCGAATCGATCCGGGTTGAACTCGTTCACGTCTTTGCCCCATATTTCTTCGTTGTGGTGAATTGCGAGAACCGGTATCCATATTGAGAGACCCTTTGGAATGTGAAGATCGCCCAATTTAAAATCCTCAAATGCCATTCGAGGAAGAAGTGAAGCCGGTGGATATAGCCTTAGCGACTCATTTATCACCATATTTAGCTGCAACATAACATACTATTTTAGATAAATCAAGAAATCGCGTAAACTACACTGAATCAGTACTATGTTGAATGACCAACTCATCTGATAAACCATATTTAAAAAAATAATAATTAATGATTAATATATCAATGCCCATCTTACAAGTAGGGTCCATATTATCATTAAATAAAAATACAAAAACAAAATGTGCTATGACAATTTAAATATTCCTAAAGTACAAAGATAGATACTAATTGAATATCCCCATGATGATATTGGAGTTTTGTAATAGTTATATCAAATGTTAAATCCAATCATACTAGTGTTGATAAGTAGTGCTCATAGTCATCATTGTAAAAATATAGACTTCAAATATTTTATGCAATTGTGAATGATACCTAACAAAAATTAAAAATTAAAATTAAAATTAAAAATTTAAACAAAATAATAATTAGTGAGTGATAATATAGAAATCCAGCTCATGGTATGCAAGATGCTTTATTGTCACATTAACTATATTCATATCTAAACCCCAAAACAAACCCTTAATTAATTAGAACAAGAAAACAAAAACAAGAGGTGAGCTGTCGATGGCTATTTTATTCACATTTCGATTTAAATTTCGATAAAAAAATAAAATAAAATAAAAACGTTTTTTCGAGAATATCTTAGTGGATGAATTAGTTTATTTTCATATTTGAAGTGTTTTTAAAATTAAAAATATCTCGAACACATACATTTTCGTGTAACAATAAAACCAGACGTAAATCATTAATCGAATATAAATAAATATATTTAAAATAATAAATTAATATTTATAAAAAAAAAATGGTATTTGGAAGGAGTAAATAATGTATGTTTACCGTAGTGAGCTTGGAGAGGTGATCGGGTGAAGGCGGAGCGCCGCCGCAAAGTTGTTTGACCTCCGCCCTGACTTTGTCCTGCCAAGAGGGATTGGTGGCGAGGAGCATGACAGTCCACGTGAGCAGGAGGGCGGTGGTTTCGTGGCCGGCGAAGAAGAAAGTCTTGCACTCGTCCATAATAAGCTGCAGATTCAAGCTGAAGCCGTCGCCGGATTTCTTCTTCTGCATTTCGTTGAGCAGCATTCCGAGCAAATCGTCGCCGTAAGAGCTACTCCGGCCGATCTCAACGCAGTCCTGGCGGCTCTGTATTATCTCCATCAGCAGCCTCTCCACCTCCCCTTTCAGCGACTTTATCTCTCTGTTGTACTTGCTCGGCAAAAACCTGTTATTAATTTCAACAAAATTATATTCAATATATATAATATTCACACACATATATATAATAAAAAATTATACCTGCTGCCGGGGAAGCATAAATGGCGGGTGGCACGTGCGCAGAGATGCTGAAGAAGAGTGAGGAGATGGAAAATCTGCTTCCCCTTTTCGTAATTAGAATCAAATTCAGTCCTGGAAATAATATCCGCCGTCAAACGTGTCATGTGTTCTCCGATCTCGAACTCCGTTTGCCCCTTCTCCACCGCCTTCCCCAAAGATTCCATCATCTGCCTCGTGCATTCCACCATGTACCCTGCATAACTCTGCCCCCACCCACAACAACCATTAATTATGTGCATGGACGGAGAAACAAGTATAGAGAGAGAGAAACAAGTAGAGAGAGAGAGAGAGAGAAATAAATAAAAATAAATACCTTGAGCTTGTCGCCCATGAATGCAGGAGCGACGATGTGTCTCTGATGATACCAGTCGTCGCCGTTAGCCATCAAAAGTCCACGTCCGATGAAATGCTTTGACCCCTGCTGCTGCATCCACGACTTGCCGGAAATCGCGCTGTGCTTTGACAAAAGCTCCTTTATCAGCTCCGTCTCCGTCAAGCACAGCCTCGGCTCAACTCCATTCCAATAAATAAACCTCTTTCCTATATATATATATATATATACGTATAACACTCATCAATTTTTTTTCCGTATTTAATTAATGAATGAATGAATGAATGAATGAATTAGTTAATATATACCGTAGGATTGGGACCAGGAGACGAAGTGGGGGAGGAGGCGGGAAACGACGTCGTGGTTGACGGAATCCATGTCGTGAGAGGTGGATTTAGCGACCAATGTAGCCATGTCCAAAATGTTTCCGACTAAAAAGCGGGGTTTCGGCCCACGCACACCTTGCTCCTCCATTATTCTCTTTATCCGCCGCGGTGTTATCCAGTAACACGACACCGTTTCGTACCCGCCTCTCGCCACCAAGTACGCCACCCCGCCGCACATCACCACTACTAATACCGACATCATCATAACCACCACTTCCATCATTTTTTTTTTTTTTTTGTTTTTTGTTAGAGAGAAAAATAAAAGGACACACACTACAGTGTGTTTGTGTGTGTGATTGTGTGAGTGGTGGGTGTGGGGGAAGGGGGATATTTATAGTGGTGATTTAGTAGTGTATGTGCCAACCCATGATGAGAAGGTTTGGATTTCCTAATTAATTAAGGATTATGTGACAATTAATTAGCATTAATTACTTCTTTCCAACACTAACAATTGTATTTATTTGAAATGAAAAGTACCAACAGTTAAAGGAAATCTTCTTTTTTTTTTACTATGTTTCTCTTTTGAAAATCGAGAAAATTAAATTAAAATATAATAAGGATGAAATAAAAATCTGCAAATTTGATTTTGTTTTTTTAATTTTTTTATTTTTTTTAAGCAGTGCAAGAACAGAACGTGGCCTTTAGTGTAAGGCAAGGGGTTAATGAGTTAATGGCAGCACAATATGAGGTTGACCTAATTCTTCATTCTATGACTCGGGAAGATAAAAATCACTATTTATATATTCATATATACTTAGGGCTCGTTCGGTTACTGTTATAAGAGCAACTCCAATGGAGGAACTAAATGGGGTATCAAACTAAAAAACTACCACTTTGATGCTCCAAAATTAAAAAATCCTCCTCCAATGGAGGCATTAAATGGAGAACTATTTTGATATTCAACCACCCCGAGGTGTAAAAATACTCCCTGGAAAATGAGGTATCAAAAATGTAACCACTCTATTAACCTATCACAATTTGCCACGTGGCATTTAATAATATAATTATTCATATATTTAAAATTTGATAATTTATTTGATACTTGTGGTTGGAGTGAATTTTTTTTCTAGAAGTATCAAAGTATTATATCAAGTATCAAATGAATGTTTAATGCTCCATTTTGATGTTTCTCCATTGGAGTTGCTCTAAGGTTCTACTAACAAAATAGTAGGGGCTAATAGCATGTTCGGTTGGTAAGATTCACACTTTTTCAAACCCGTTATTAAATTCAAAGCCCGCTATTAAATACTACTATTTCATTAAATTAGTAGCACCCCTCCCCCTGAGATTAATTTAATAGGGGTTGACTAAAAAGGAAAAATACAATTTTATCCTTAAAATTATATTTTATTATTGTAAACTAAGTGGTTTTATAGACAATTCATATGTAATAACTGATTTTAACAAATTTAATAGAAAATTTAATCTAAGAAATCGTACATGCTACTAACTAAATAATTAATTAGTCAGTAGGAAGTTAATCCAATCTCATGTAATCCAATTTAATCCAATATAGGTAACCGAACGAGCCCTTAAAATACTACTATTTAATTAGTTGTTGGAGTATGTGAACTTGTGTTAATTAGCTAAGTTCGAATCCTATTATCAACGCGTTAGGTAAAACTTGTCACATATGGTTCGTCTAGTGTTGTTTAAGCCTCTCGTATGATTTGCACGTTAGTATACGAGGATGTAGATTTACTCAGTGCACTTAGGCCCCGTTTGGTTGACAAGATAAGATTAGCCAAGATAAGACTAAATAATCTAATGAGACCCAATTATTTTATTGGAGCTTGAAAGGTCCAACAAAAAAACTCATTAAAAGGCAAGATAAACCAAGATAAGACAAGATAAGCCATGATTATATAATTTTGGCGGGTCGACCCGGCAAGTTATTGAGGATACCAAACATCAAATTAAGTCCAACTATTTAGTTAATCATGGCTTATCTTGGCAACCAAACGGGGCCTTATACAATTGGCTACGGGTTCCTTCGTTACCAAAAATAAAATCAGAGAGAGTGTATTTATGGAAGGTAAATTTATTTACAATTTAATTTATTTATGGTAAGCAAATGATTTTAGTAGAGTTTGGTATGGTAACTCAACAATCCGTGATTTTTTTAAATTAATTACAGTTCTTTTAAAATTGTTTCTAGTAAGATCCTAGGGGGGAATAATATATGTAGTAACACTATTTTGGTTGGTTTCTTTGAATTGGATTCTAATTATTTTGAAATGTTATACTATTCATACATGTATTTAACAAAGAAAAAAAAAAAGAAAATCTAAAATGAATATATGTTTGTTCAACTTAGTTTGAATTTGTACTGAGTTTCACATTGATTTCGATACACATTTAAGTCATCGAACTCGAACAAGCTTTTATCGAGTCGAACATTAATTGAGCTCTAGTAATTTGAATTTTTTTTAATATACATATTATACTATTATTTTCCAATCGAATTCGAGCTCGAGCTAAACTTATAAATTATTAAACGAAAAATGTGTTAAATTGATCGCGTCAAAGTTCAAAAGTAGTGAGAAGTGAGGACCATAATTATCAAAAGCTCCTAAATCATTCTTCAAAATCTTGAATCATAATTGTCTCACGCTTTTAGAAAAAAAAAAAAAAAAAAAAAAAGGAAAGAAACGTGCTTGATTCATGAGGCTTGTCATACAAATTTCTCTACCAATATGTACTTTTGACTTTGTCACATTTCAGTCAAAAATTGTAATAAGCCCAATCCACGCTCTCCAATCGGGTTATTTCTATGCTACATGAGTTCCACGGTCTCCATATTTTAATCGACTATTTATGTTAATTGAATTTTTTTAAAAAATTTATTTTTATGAATGAGAAATTAATAGTTAATTTACAATATTTAGTTATTAAAAAATAATACGTGAAAAATCAGTCACCGGCCATTAATATATGTAGCGGTGTTTAGACACACACTCGATTAAAATATGGCGATTAAAATTGAAAATAATACATATTCAATCGCATATGTTTTCAATTAATATGACTAAATGGTAACACGCATTTTCATATTAATCTTTTTCCCCATAAAAAGAAAACTTAATAATAAAAATAAGTGTTGCCTTTTCAACATTTGAGGCATTGCATTCCAAAAATTACAATTTGGAGTTCTTTATTTACCCTAAAATCATATTCGTGAATCTTTTATTTGTATTTTTATTAAGAATTGTGTCAATTGACCTAAGTTCGAATCTCATTACAACGGTCGATAGATCGATTTTGTCACACATGGTTAGCCTAGCGTGGTTTTACGTCTCTCATGCAGTTTGCAAACTATTATACGAGCAGCGTAAATTTACCCATTGTTCCTAATTGATTAAGAATCATATAACTTATTTATTAAGGGCATCTAAAATAATCATGAAAAATAAAGATAGAGTTGATAAAGAATTAAGCGCCATTAATGGCTTACAAAATCAAGATCCTTTAATTTTGGAAAGGCAAAGTCCCATAAGTCTTTGAGAAAAAAGAAAAAAGGAAAAAAAGATTTTGTAATGACAAAATCTTTCATGAGGAAGATCAAAGTTGAAAGCCATGAATTGACACTTTATTCAAATAAACAAAATAAAAGTATGATACTTATTAGTAATTAAAAAAAAAAAAAAAGATTTGGACTAATCATGGTAGTTAAGATCAATTAAAGAATGGGAATCAACATTAATTTGACAAAATCGTCACAAGAGATAGATGGTATCTCGATGATTTCGTAAACCGATTGTCAAAAAACTTGCTGTGAAATAATCACATTCGTCGGAGCAGATAAGAAACGTTTTTTTAGTGCAACGAAAATGACAACGGTCGTTGCGGATATTCTTTCGAAACAAAATACCCATGCGACCGAAATGGACTACTCGTTGCACATTTTGATTCTTAGACTGTTACCTGAGGCCCAATAAGTATTGATGATCAATAATATTGAAATAATCCTAACTTGGGCTAGTTCAGACTTCAAACACACAGACAGCCCATTGAATTAAATAAAGTACTATGAAAATTAAAAGCAACAACCTCCAAAATACCATTTATATGTGCAATTGTTGAGAAGGAGATTTTCAGCCGGAAGTTTCGCTCCATTTATCCCAGTGCAGAGTCTCGGATTAAGGTATCCGACGACGATCACATGTTGTGAAAGCTTGTATGTGTTAAATGCACTATAAAAGTCATGGCACATTTCCGAGCATGCACTAATTAATTTTATGAGATTCCAATTTTTCGATCCAATTTTGCGAAACTTAAGTCCAAGAATTCTTTATCGAGAATTGTATTTATAATATCAATATTATTCTTTATTTCATGCCAAATTAATAATGAGAATTCCTATAATCATTTATATATTTATATATAATGATGTTTAATATAATGAAGTATCTAATCACGAAACTCCACTTTAAAATTAGAAGGAAAAAAAAAAAAAAAAGAATACCAGTCCACTTAATTGGTTTGTGTGCATTGATTTACTCCTAGGCTGGCATAACTTAATTAAGAGGAATTTGACTGATATGAGATTATATTAAAAGTTACTAATATCTCACGGTTCATCGATTCACAGCGGCGCACGGTTTCAAGGGCAAGATGGGGGTTTGTGCCCCCCATAATATTTCTTTTTTTCTATTACCTATGTATGTATATAAATTAGACTTTCTACCATGCAATGCATATATCTGGTTATTTACACCGAGTGGATTTTTTTTTTTTTTTGATAATGCAGGAACCCGCAGCCAACCATATAGGTGCACTGGGTAAACCTACACTCTCGTATAATAGCTTGCAAACCATACGAGAGATTTACCACACTAGACTAACCATGTGTGACAAGCTCGACCTAGCGACCGTTGTCAAGGGGATTCGAACACCGAGTGGATTTGAACCGTACATAGATTTTATTAAATAACTATCCACTAAATACGATACATATACACATGTATGTGTAATTATATGTAGCTAGATGTATGGTTGAAATCTAATAATCTAATTAATTAAAAAATTATTTTAGTTTCCTAATTAATTAATTCATGCATAAATTAATATTTTTTCCAAAAAAACAAGAGTGCAACAAACAAGCCCACAACTAGTGCAGCAACTTCTAGAGCTTTCATTTATTTATATTTATTACAAGCACATAGTATTTAACCTCAAAAGAATACATTTACACAAACAAATAATCCAACTACTGCCCTTCAATTCCAACAACAACAGTAAAACCTACTCTTCATTCTTTCATTCTTGATTTTGACCGATACTATATATATATATATATATATATATATATATATATATATATATATATATATATATATATATAATTACAGTTTTATCTCACATCAGTCAAATTCCTCATGATTAACAAAACAATGTACACAAGTTCTTGAAATTAACTAATTAACCGGCCACCCTCCATGTAATTCACGCGCCGCTGCATCTTTTGCTGAACTTATAATACATACATTTATATGTATCTATATATTGTATATATATATATATATATATATCAGAGCTTGACAATTTCAGGAATATGCACCGGATACCTATGAATGCAGTCGGTCCAGGGTCCGTCGGCCGGAGTTTTGATCGTTCGGTTACACTTCCACACGGCGCTGTTACACTTAAACCCACTCCCGAAAGCAATCTGCCAAACCCTATCTCCCTTCTTCATCCTCCCTTTCGCCTCGATGTACCCTAGTTCGTACCACAGCGAAGAGGACGACGTGTTCCCGAAGCGGTGGAGCGTCATTCGGGAAGCTTCCACGTGCTCCGCCGACAGCTGTAGGTTCCTCTGCAGCTCGTCGATCACCGCCCTCCCTCCGGCGTGTATGCAGAAGTGCTCGAACGCCAGCTTGAAGTCCGGTATGTAGGCCTTCCACTTGGGGTTGAATATCTTCCGCCCGATTAGGGTTAGCAGGAACAGGAGCTGCTCCGACGCCGGCAGCACCAGCGGCCCTATGGTGGTGATGTTCGACTTCAGCGCTTCTCCGGCGATCACCATCAGATCCTTGGACAGGTTTATCCCGACCTTCCCCTGCGGGTCCTCCTGCTCGTACACGCACGTGTACGCCTTGTCGTCGGCGCCCTTGTGCGTGCGGACCACGTGGACGAGCCTGTACTTGGCCCTGGCGGCGTCGCGGCGTTTGTTGGAGAGGAGTACGGCGGCGCCGCCCATCCGGAACAAACAGTTCGGCAGAAGCATTGCCCTCTCGGAACCCTGGTAGTAATTCGGGGTGATGATTTCTGTACTGACAACCAGCGCGTTCGAATTCGGGTGAACCTGGAGCAAATCCCGAGCTAAATCGATGGAGATTAAGCCGGCGCTGCAGCCCATGCCGGAGAGATTGTAGCTCTTGATATTGCTCCTGAGTTTGTACTTATTCACCACCATGGCGGAGAGCGACGGCGTGGGAGAAAACAGGCTGCAGTTGACTATAAGTATGTCGATGTCTTTGGGTTTGATTCCGGTCTTGTGCATAAGGGAATCGATGGAGGAGAAGATGACGAGCTCGGCTTCGCCACGCGCCGCCTCCATGGTGGGGGTGGGAGGGATGTAGTGGATGGCCGGAGGGAGGCAGGTTTCCTCGCCGAGGCCGGAGCGTTCTAGAATGCGCATCTGGAAGTCGACGCTCTTAGGGTTTTGGTTGAGGATGAGTCTGGAATGTTCCATGAAGGTTGAGAAGGGCACGCGGCACGTGACCGGGGGTTTGTAGCAGGAGTAATCGACGAGGTAGATTGATCGGGGTTTGGACATGAAATAGACGGTCGAGATTAACACGGCGAGGAACGCGGAGCAGAGGATCTGGACCGGGTTGAGGTGGAGGGAGTTGTAGAGAGAGAGGATCTCGGTGGGGCCCACCCGGAGGAGTGAGAGGAGGAGTGGGATTAACGCAAGGGTGAGAATGTGGTTGACCAGATATTGGTACACGAGTTTTACGTACTTGAGCTTTACTGTGGTCGGGGAGTTTGGTGGTGCCGCCGTTGTTTCTGGCATTTTTTTTATTTATTTTTTTATTTGCGGCGGCGGGCGGTGGTGATGTGATGGTGGAGGAATAGAGAGGGAGATGGCGGAGAAAGTGAAGGGATTTAAAGAGTGAAATGTGAGGAGAAATGAATTAATGAAGGCAGGTGAGAAGATTTAATGAGAAAGTCCACGTCACACAACGCTCTCTTAGCTGGAGTTGTTTTTGTGCTTAATGCTAACCTCCATACCACTTTATGTTAATTTCTTTAATTAAAATAATAATAAATAATACCAGAGTTTTTTAAAACATAATAGTCCACTTCCATATGCTATGGAACTGATGAAGAGTTTGATTTAAAAGATTATATAATAATAATTTTAGCATCAATTGTTCACGGTGGGGAGTCCCGTGTATGGGCGGCCTACAATCAAATATTGTGTGTTCCCGTGTATGGGCGGCCTACAATCAAATATCGTGTGTGCTTGTATGTGCTGAATGCACTATAAAGATAGAATTTGCGCATTTTCTCACACCAATTAATTGATTGTAAGGTCGTACAAATATCGATTATATATATATATATATATATATATATATATATATATATATATATATATATATATATTGGTAAGTATATATAAATATCGTCCAATACCTTATCGTTGATCCATTTCTTCCAAGTTATAGTTATACCTTACTATTAAATCAAAATGCTAAATTACAATAGGAGATTTGCACCGGTATGAATGTTTTAATTCAAACAATTGACTGCGAAGCATTGTCAAGGGGTATTGTGATCGGACGAGGCTCTTCTTTTTCATTTTGTTGATAGCGTATCATCTTAGTTAGTGTCACATTAAACTTTATGTTTTATAGTATGAGCACTGATAAACTAACGTGAGTGGCATGTGTGTAAGATTCCGGTAAAAATTGCTGGAAAATACCATTTTTAGGGCACCATACAAAAAAAAAAACAAGTTTTAGGTAAAAATATAACAAAAAAAAAATTGTTTGGGCTAAAGTGCAAAAGAGGTCATAATTTAGGGCAAAGTGTTTTTTTACTCTAACCGGAATCTTACTCATATTATACTTTATCCTTAATTATGGTGGTGTGAATTGATATGGTCCTAAGTTGATATATATACTTTTCCACTCCCTCAACGGAAGGTGGGAATTGGGTGGCTCGGTAGAATACTTCATTGATATTCTAGACATCTTCTAGGAGTTAAGTACAAATACAATAGAGAGGTTTTTATGAATATTATATAAATCTTCCTACATATTTCTCAAAAAAAAATTATCAAGAGATGTTTTTTTTTTTTGTGCTTTGTCTTGTTGCCTTAGTTTCTTTGGTCTCGTGAGAACCTCTTTGCTCCAAACACTATAGAATTTGGTCAAAATAGACATGACACATTAGCCTCATTTCAAATTGTTTATAGTTAGTTACTCATTATTATAATATTTTATTTACAACTTATATGTTCAAATTACGGCAGTTTAAAACTCATCAAATACATATATGTTTTGGGCTTTTTGAGAAATTTTGATAATAGGAGAAATTCATATAATAAATAAATAATTAGTTATAGTGAAAGACAATCAGTAGAACCTCAATAAATCATTAGACATTTGTATAAATCGTGTATTTTGATGAGTTTCCAACTGCATGATGTAGTTCAAAAATAAGACGTTTTTGCAAAGAGTTTACATTCTGAACGGATCCCCTATTTTTTGGAGATAAACAAATCTCATTCATTCAATGACACGTGGATAATCTAATTAATTGTAAATATAACTGTACTATTAATCTTACCTCAATTAATGATTAATTTTAAAGATTATTTAGAAAATAACAACAATTGTCTTCTGGCGGTAAATTATATTTATTAATTTTTTTTATTTTTTTTATTTTTCTAACTTATTTAGTGAACTGTTTGGGCAATAGTTTAATACACAAAAACCATAGTGTTAAATCTTTACATTAGAAAAAAAATATTATTAAATATGAATTCAAGAATTTACATTCATTTAAGTTGTATGTTTATTCTTTATTATTATTTTGGGTGTGTGAATTCTTTATCATAATTTATTATTCTCGTATATGATAATTTTTTCGGATTTATTAAAAAAAAATCCAAAATAAACATGTTCCCGAAAGGGTTTCTAGGAACATACTTCTGGTGAAGAACACCAGGTGCCTCTCATATTAACACGTGTGGGGTTTAGTAATTTAACTATAGGGTTTAATAATTTAACTTAGGGTTTTTAGAAAAATAAAAAAATAGAATTCGAAAATTAATTAAACTGTAAATGCTACGTGATAATAGAAGAGTTACCCCATATTTATCACCAGGAGTAGGATCATATGAACCTTCCGAATAATAATGTGTTAAAAGGAAAAGAAAAATTGTTATTTAGAAAAGAAAGAAAAAGAAAAGAAAAAATAATGAAATTTTTTTTATGCGCCTACATATAAGGAGGAAGTTGCATGCACTTGCAATTTTTAACTAGGGAGTTTTTAATTTAAAATACTGATAAATTAAGAAGAGAGCAAATTTGGAACGGATCCCCCATTTATATTAGAAAAACGGATTCCATTCATTGAGTGACACGTGGATATTTAATTAAGAAATGTGATTGTTTATGTTTCAGTATTTATAGGTATTTTAAATTAAAAAGTCTTTAATTAAGAATTGCAAGTGCATGCAACTACCTTATATGTAGGCGCATTAACTTTTTTCCATTATCTTTTCTTTTCTTTTTCTTTCTTTTCTAAATAAAAATTTTTCTTTTTGTTGTAACACATAATTAGTGGCATTTAAGTTTTAATTAATTTTTGAATTCTATTTTTTTTTCCTAAAAACCCTAAGTTAAATTATTAAACCCTAGGGTTAAATTACTAAACCCACACATGTTAATAGGAGAGGCATCTAGTGTTCTTCACCAGGAGTATGTTCCTAGAAACCTATTCGGAACATGTTTATTTTGGGTCTTTTTATTTAATAAACCCGAATAAAATATCATATACGAGAATAATAAATTATAATAAAGAATTCATACACCCAAAATAATTTGCTCTCTAAAGAATAAACATACAATTTAAATGAATGTTAAATTCTTGAATTCAGATTTTAATAATATTATTTTTCTAATGTAAAGATTCAACACTATGTCGTTAAAAATTCCAAGGAGTCTTAACCTAAATTAACCACGTAACTTGGTAAATTAATTAAATTTTAAAATAAATTAATATTCCACGTGGCAAGCTTTGAATGGTGTCTGCTTTTCTCAAATTAATAGGGCGTCCGTTTTGAATGTTATTCCAATTAAGAAACATAAACTGTCCACATGTCACTCAATGAGTGGAATCCGTTTTTCTTATATAAATGGGGGATCCGTTCCAAATTTGCTCCCTTCTGCAAATATTAGTAACATTGAAAATACTTTTGGCAATTTGATATACAATACATGCACATTGGTGCCAAATGCAATAAACCCCGAGCTTCTATACTTGAAAATCAATTCATATTCCAATTGATTGTGCTTTTCAAATTGTTTTGGAAATCTTTTTTTTTTTTTTCTTTTGAAAGATATAAGTTTGTATAATTGTATCGTTGTCATGTGACTTTATACATACTATTATTATTATTATTATTATTATTATTATTATTATTATTATTATTATTATTATTATTATTTATATTTCTTTTATTCCAAAATAAAATTGCTCCATATTAATATATAGAAAATTGAATCAAAATTTGGGTAATTGAAAATTATTTATTTTCTTTTTATTTTTTTAAAGTTTTTATTTTTTTTCTTTTAAGTTGGATTATATCAAATTTATTGCTCACGAGAAAGAGAGTCGTAAACAAACTCCATGGAATGGTTTAGCCCGTCGGGTTGGGGTGGTTGTTAGTTAAGTGGTGACTAATAAATAATTCCTATAAATTCCCGACCCCACCCACCGGAAAATTAAATTACATATTTCCAAAAATTACATTGCCCAAAAAAAAAAACAAAAAATTTTGTGTGGTCTCAATTTACGTATATCAAATGTTGTGATGTTTCCTACTTTAAGACCAACCGCACATACTATTATTGGCCGAATTTTAAGTTCGCGGGGCCGAAGGAATTATCCTTTTTTTTTTTTTTTTTTTGTAAGGGGATATCAATGATACTAATTATACACGGATGTATTTTTTAATTTTTATATAAAAAAATAGAAATTCGAGAACTGTTAGAGCAATTCCAATGGGGTTATCAAACATGGTATTCAAACCATTAACCACTATTTATATACCAAAAAATAGAAATTTTTAACTCCAATGGGTAGGGCTGGCAATCGGCCCATGTGAGCCGAGCTTGGGTCGGCTCAAGCTCATATACCATCGAGCCTTGTTATTATATGTTCAAGCTCAAATATCATCGGGCCTCATGTCTATGCTCAAACTCGGATCGCATTTTTTCGGGCTTCGGGTTTATATCGGACTTATATTGGACAATATATAAATTACATATTTTACAACTTTGTAGCCGAACATTAAAAAAAAAAAACAACTTATACTATGATAAATTAAGAATAATCATTGCAAGTCGAAAACAATGATAAATTAAGATAAAACTTATATCTATAATAACATTGAAAGAAAAAACAGTGATAAATTAAGATTAATTACCTCCATTGATGACGAGAGAAACCTTCAACTTAACTTTTGCAACATACTGTTAACGTTAGCGTTTTGTATATACTAGGTTTTATATTTATATGAATGCAAAAAAGGTTAGTATTTTTTACATTAAGAAACTTTTCACTTAGATTTAATTAAATTTATGAATTAATTACTACTAGTCGGGCTTTATTCGGGTTAAGCCATGCTAAGCTCAAACTCGGCTCATAGTTTAATCGGGTTCAATAAAAAGGCTCAAACTCGGCCCGGCTCACAATTTATCGAGCTCGGCTCAAATAAAATCGGACCGAGCCATCGGGCTTCGGACAGGCCCGGCTCAATTGCCGGTCCTACCAATGGGGTTATCAAATTAGGGCTCTATTTTGATAATTCAACTTTTGGGATGTAAAAATACTTACTGGAAATTGAGTTATCAAAAGTGTAACTATCTAAATATCCAATCAAAAGTGGACATATGGCAATTGCAAATAAAATCACCTAAAAACTTCCAATTGATAATTAATTTGATAACCATGGTTGGAGTAGATGAATTTTAATCAATATTAAAATATTATCTCAAATATCAAATAAATATTTGATAATTCAATTTTGGTATTTAGCATTGAAGTTGCTCTTAGGAGGCGACAATCCTTCTGCCCTTATGTTGGCTCCGTCACTGACCACGCATAATTAGAGATTATCGCACCACCATCTAAATATATATATAGTTGCGTAATAAAAAATAATGTCCCAGTCATTAAAGAATATACAAAAGCTACTCACCCAACTACACGTGTATATATCATACATATATTTTTGTAATGTTTCGAGAGTGTGTGTGTGTGTACGTGTATATATTTTTTTTCCCCGAACGAATTAAATCATCATTTTATTGATGAAAATGATAGTGGTGAATATAGAGTCTAAAGTCACAATCTCCCTTTCAAGTAGTAGTCCCATTTGTAAAAAAAAGAAAATGTAATGAACAATTATGCATGTGCTTGAGTTTATATCTTTTGCCCCACTAACTAAATTAGAACTCTTATTATTACAATGGGAAAAGAATTGTTGGAAAATCAATTTAAATAGGAAAATCAGGTACTTTTAAAATTATAGCTTAAATCAGTTTTTAACTTGCCATTGTATCTCTATTTCTCGCATGTAATCTTTCCACACCGGTGTTTCTACGTAGGACAAGTGTTTCTATGCATTTATATTAGTGATTAACCTAACTAACACGCGTAAATGACAATTGGACCACATAATTAAATTGTTTGTTAACACTAAAAGGAAATTAAAAAGAAATGTTTTCAAGTGATATTTTTTAGTATATATAAAAATTAACCCAAGGTACAATTGTTTGTGAGCAAGTTGATCGATTTGCATATGAATTGAGTGGTCATCAATAACACGGCACCAACTCTCTATTGCAATTTAATGTGAAGTTGATTTATTTAATAAATATGGAGGTGTGCCAATTTTCCAACTCCCAACTACTCTACGTGACCGAAAATTAAAATAAAATTTGAAAAATCAAAGATAAAGATGGCATCACTATAATTGTGTTCTAACCCTTTATTTACAAACTTCCAATGTTTTACCCTAATTAAATGAATATATACAATCATGCGTACGGCTGTGAACGAGTCGAGCTCGAACCGAGCTCGCCTGTCTTTGCAGGCTCGAGCTCTAGCTTGAGTTTATTTTGTCGACTATGATGATTGTTGTAATAAGATATAGCATTTCATCTTAGTGATCTTTCTCCAATTGTTAAATTTATGAAGTCTTCGCGAAATTAAAAAAAAAAAAAAAAAAAAATCTTATACTTGTATCTTGAAAAAACTTATAAGATATCGAAATAAACTCTGCGAAATTTAATACACATGTACGGTGAGATCTTAACATGTGTAATAAACAATGTGGTTTGGCTTCATAATAACTTCCCATACTGAAAATTAACTGTTAGAAAAAGATGCACTCCTCAGTCCTCACCCCCAATGCATAATATTTTGCCAATCAGATGTCGAGCAAATTGACCGGTCGAAAGTGTACACAAGAAAATCCCAAAAAAAAAACAAAAAAAAAAAGAAAAAAGAAACCGGAAAAAAAACTAAGTCGTCATTAAGTCAACATAACCGAGCAAAGCATGAGCTCACATGTAACTAATTCATGCATATCATGAAAAAGATCATAAATGAGTACAATCTTTTTTTCCTACCATTACTCAGATCATAACAATATTACCGGAAATAAAGTTAGAAATATAATCCGGCCCTAGTCAGAGTCTCTTCTTTTTGGTGTCCGGTCGACTGGAATTTTTAGTTAGTGCCCACTGTCTCGTATTTAGATATATCGATATCAGTACAAACTGAGAGAAGCAGAAAATCATAATCACCGCTTCGAAGAGGAAAGGATATTTATCGGGAGGGGTGATATTTAAGTAGATGATATGTAGGAAAAGAGAGCAGGCAAATGCAACTACTTGTAAAATGGAATAAAAGGAAAGAGTCTTTTTCGCATCATCCTTTCTTCCACGGGGCGCATAGTACAGAAGTACGAAAAGGGCGTATAGAGCAGCATATGGAAGTACCAAATCGTCACGCCTTAAGAGAGGGAACATTGATAGCAAAGCATAATATATCAGCCACTGGAAAACAAACGGTTCTTCGAAGGCTAATAAGCTCGCCGGCAGAATGGGAAGCAGGATCGATTTCTCGTGAACTGTAAAATTTAAACACAATTTGCAGAGAATTAAAATAAAAAAAAAGGAGGAAAAAACGACGGATTTAGTTGAAGATGCTAGTAGTTTATAATACCTTGGAATGAGAATAGATAAAATGATAAAGAGCAGTTAATCAATCCAAGCAGAAAACCACGTCTGGTGGGTGACCGAATAAGTTGAATCATAGAAGGAAGACAAGTGGAGACGGTTGCAGTAAGGCTGAGAAGCTTCATCGACTGCGTGGTGAACAGTCTCTTCCACTTCACGGCGATTGAAGTGGTGCACCAAAAATTTGCCACGTAATCCTCGTATATACCTCTCTCGAATGGAGCTAAGCGAGAAAGAACCTGTTCCAAGAATCAATTTGAGAACTGATTCGCCAAACACGCGCAAATATTTTAAGAAAGGGAAAAATTAAACTCGTCAATCTAAAGAAATCTGACACGACTTGCATAGTTGCATTCCATTTAACATCAGCTAAAAAAATTCATTAAAGATTGTAAAATGGAAGTCCTTCCTTAACATCTTCCCATCTTAAAAGCCGAACAATAGGCCATACCCATCATATATTTCAACGGTGTAACTGACAACCTAAAACATAATGTTTATCACCTCCATGTAAAGTTGCCAAAGCAAAGAAATCTCCTAATTAATACAATTGAGACTGATCATTAACAATTGAACCCGAGGGGTATATACGCCAAGGAAACTGAAAAACGGAGATAATTTTACATTCAGCAGTAAATAGTGCACTGAAGATTAAAGAATAGGAAAAGGAACAATGGAGCCGCACACATTAGCTACGTACCTCCAAAACACCATCCACGGAATGAAGATATGGCCACCAAACTAGAGCAAAGGTCCCCAATACCACCAAACCTAGTTTCGAGATCTCAAGGATTGGATTTTGGCGCTTCAGACACTTGCCGAAAAGATAGGCAAAAAAAGCAGGTGCATAGTACGCACTCATCTGAAAGGCAAATAAGAAAAGGAAATGATGTACACACCATATAACACTGAATTAAATGAACTCTTGTTTAGCGAGGTGACCTAAATAATAAGCAAAATATTGAAATAAAAATATCATAAATTAAGATGTATTCCGCTTGAGCAAAAGTCAGCGGTCTACATTGTAAGTTGATGGTTGAGATACGAGACATGCTTGCTTCATGTTTAGGTGTTTCAGAATCATCCGTTAATTAATTGACAAAAAAATATTTTTAAACTTTTACGACACCTGATAATGATGCAAGCATAATGCTCGTTCCTAAGGTTTATGCTTTTGGGTCCAGCATCGAGACAAGTTACGCGTTAAGAAAGTTCATAATCCCATTGTACAGCAAAATTTTATTTCACACAATAATAGAAACAAAATATGACATCATGGACATAATTGGGTGGTGTTTCTATTAAAACTGGAGTCGAAACGTACCTGTTTGTGGTTAAGAGCAAGGCAGAACAGAAGGGAGCCAACAAGGTCTCTATCTGATAAAATTGCAGCAACAGCTGCAACGGTTAACCCCAAACTAATGCAATTGTACTGACAACAAAACAAAGGAGAAATCAAAAAAAGAAAGAAACGAAAAAAAGAAAAACATTAATAAATCATAAGTTCGACACAATAACAAAATTCATTGTACATGTCATCGTATACCTGAAAATGACCATGATCAATCAAAATGAGACACGGGTTCAACAAAATCATTATAGTGTGCCAGGCCATGCTGCTTCTGTCCCCAGTGGGTTTCCCAGAGTAATACACGGTTACAAAATAAAGCACTGCAGGAAAAAATATCATCAAATCAGACATCAGAACCGTCCACCTCATCAACAGCTTCCTACACGAAAAGATCACAAAATGGAAAGCAATTAGGTATACATTGTTTCTTGAGCTCCGATTGAATTGAGAAATTTGAAGTCCCTAAATATTCAAATACAATTTGTATTTCTTTGGTAGCAAAGACATAACCCCACGACATTCCAATATCTTTCATCAGCTCATTTAATCATTTCATGTAGATATGCCTACGCGAGCTGCTAAGTTTGGGCAATTGAAAACAATCTTAAATTTCGAGAGTATGGTGAACAGAGGCTTCAATCGTCACGACAAAAGATAATTCTAAAAAAATACAGTATAACGCTCAATAACGATCCATATTTCAACCGAGGAGCACAAAATTAGGTAAATACTCGAATAATCAGCATACCCAAGGTAGGACTCATATCCACGAGAAGTGAAGAGCGCAACCGATGCAGGATCGAAGAATTTCAATAAAGTTCCATGGAGATAACTCTGGTACCCAGTCAGAGGGGGGTAATCGAGGCCCCAGTATCCGAGATCATTTGAGCTGCTGTTGCGATACCATTCCTTGACCGGAAGGTTGACCGTAATCTCCATCCAATGGCGCTGCGCCTCGTAATCCCCGAATTTCGGCGGCGTTTGGGCGCCGGAGTAGGGGTGGAGCGAAACTGCGAGGCGAATCAAAACGGCGAAGAGGCTTATGCACAGGAACCATGATTTCGTGCTTCTTTCGGTGATGAATGACCATATATCGGCGTTTGGTTCGGGTTCGGGTTCCGGTTTAGATACAGTTTTTGTTGGATTGTTTGGGCCGATCTTCTTCTTCTTCCAGTTCTCCATTGTTATTTGCGGTAAGGCTCCGTTTGGTTCCTGGATTTCAAAAACGAGAAAAATGAAAATGTAAAGGAAAATGAAATCAAAGTAATTCCAGAATCACATGGGTGTTTGGTTCATAAGATTAACCGGTCAGTAAACTTATTTGTGAAAAGACAGTTTCTTGGCAAGGAATTACCGGCTACCGAATACACTGCACTCGTAGCGATTGGCCACGGTATGCGGCGGCTTTATGGGGGGGGGGGGGGGGAATTGGGTGAAGCGGTGCGGCGGCGCCGCGGTGGTTGATTTCTCCGGTGCGGCTGTGGTTGAGCTGGTGGTTGTTGCGGAAGCCGCAGGCTTATCCTCTCTTGGTTCCTCCGGTGGATTGAGGCATCGTCGGCGGAGGGCGGCGGAGGGTAACTACCACTGCCAAAGAGAGTCGGGGATGGGGATCGGGGAGAGACGAAGAATTTTACTTGGCATAATAGCACCTCACTCCCTCTACGAATTAAGGTTTTGCACTAAACCCCCTAGAAATATGAAAAAGGAGATCACATCACCCCTTCAAAATATAAATGTCATTGCACATTGCCCCAATATATTTTTTTTGGTAAATTAAAAGTTTAAGGAGGATAATTTTGTCACTTAATTCATTTTACTTTTATTATTCACCTTAAATCCCATTACAATAGTTTTGTATTTCTAGTTGTTCATTCCTAGACATGGCCACGATTCGGTTCTGGTCCGGTTTCAAACCACTAGATCCGTTCGGGTTTAGGAGGAACCGAAAAAAACACTTGAAAACTTTTAAACACTTGCAAAAAATTTTGAGAAAATTATTGTAGACACTTGAAAATACTTATTTTTTAAGTCAAATTTTAAAAATACTTAAAAAAAATATTTTTTTTACTTTTTGAAGGAATTAGTTGTAGTTTTAAAAACTAAAAAAAAAAAAAAGGATCTCCGCATGTAGTAACGATCTCATTTCATTGAAGATGTTGCTACCCATACTAAAGGCTTGTTCGACGGCAAAAGATACTAATTGAAGAAGATAGAACGTCATTGACGATAAATGTCAATATTGAGAATTTGATCGTTTTGGTCGAACCACCCAATTTTAGTAAATCCAAGTGAACAGAATCTACTAATAGTTTCAATTAGGGGTGTGCGCGGGCCATAAACCCGCGGGTTCTATCAAAACCCGCCCTCGTCCCGTCAAACAACGGTTCTTGATTTTGAAGAACCGAACTTGTGGGTTTTTAACGGGTTTAGGATAGGCGGGTCCATGGCGGGTTTGTAGTAGGACCCAACCTTTACGGGTCGAAACCGTTATCGTCTAAACTATTTTTTTTTATATATAATTTATAAGTTTTACGGGAGAATAATTAGAAACTAAAATGAATAACCTAAAATTTCAAATTGAAACCAAACATAAATAATGTAAATGTCAAGAGTAAATAAAAATTAATATAAAACTAAAAATAACTAATTCATAACTTAAAAGACAAATTTTAAATAAAATAAATATAGCTTTTTCAAGCATAACCAACGCCCTATTCAGCTCCATTCAACACCATTTTCTTCCTTTTTTCTGCCGTGTGTTGACCGTTGTATATATATGTTTTTTTTCCTACATTTTCTTAGAGATTTTCATAATCTTTATAGCTATTACTTCCACAATTATAGTTTAGTTGATTTATGTATTTGATACACTAGAGATACTTTATTTATTCATTAATATTATTAATTTATTATACTATATAATGTAAACAAAACGACGTCGTTTTGTATGGCGGGGCGGGACGGGTTTCACGGGTATTAAAAAAAATTGAACCCGTCTAAGACCCAAACCCACGGTTCTTCACCATTTTAGGACCCAATCCTATGGATGGATTTATCCGTCCGGTCCCAACGGGGCGGTTTTTCACGGGTTTGACGGGTGTAGCGGGTTGATGGGTCCGACTTGCTCACCCCTAGTTTCAATTATTTCGCAAATTGTTATATTTAATGATATTTAAATATTCTATGGAAAAAAATAAATCAAATTTGACTTAATTATTTATTTAAGCTACATAATCTAAAAAATAAAATTTATACGTTGACTCATATAAGTGTAATGATCAACAATCAAATTT